AATAGCTTTTCAGAATCGGGCCTTGCCACCTCAGGGACCTTGTACTTGGATTCGTCCTACCCTTTATTGCAGTTGATGTCTCTGCTGTAACGGCCAAGGCGGGCTGTCGCGACGCCTTTGTTTCTCCATCACACAAAAAAAGAACGTACCTCTACTCACACTGGGCAGTTTAAGTGGTTTCAGAGCCCTCATAAGGCATCGGAGGGCTCTTATTTAACACAGCCATGATGCTGCAGCTGGCAGGGCCCAGCCAAAATGCACCGGCCTGGGCTCTGTTCCCAAGCTCTAACCTTAGCCACCGTTGCTGTCTTTCTGGTCTCCAGCTTCAAAGTGGGGTCCCCGGTCCCTAGCACGTTCCGGAGGCAGCTGATCCACGGTGCTAGGCTGGCGGATGGGAGGATGGGAGGATGCGAAGAGTCCTAACGATCTCAATCCTTACAATTCAGAAAATTGTAATTTTCAGTTGTTTTAATGCTGAATATATTATTTGTATCTACTTGTATCTACTTGTATCTATATTCAGCATTAAAACAACTGAAAATACAGAGAAATGAAAAAGAATTCACCCATGTTCCTATCACCTAAAGTCCCTGTAAACATCCTGGATTATATCTTTTCCATATATATATATATAATTTTTTTCTGTGCATGTGCATAATTATATATATTCTAGGAAATGGATTTATACTGTTATTGATCTATAAGTAGCCCCCCCAAAGAATACTGTATATTTTTAAGACTCAATATATATTATCAGTAGTCCTCCAGAAAGAGTGTACTGATTCACGTTCCAGCTTGCACAGCAACTTCTCGCATTCTTTCCAGCTCTATTATGGCTCTTTTTAAGGGTCATCACTTTGAAAAGTAGTAGCAAAAGGCATTGCTTGTTACATTATTTAATTTGTATTTCTTTGGCCACAGTGTTTTAATGTACCATTAAGATAGTTTTACATGGTTTATATGCCACTTGATAATTTTATATTCTGCTTTTTTCCCCCTGAATACTATTATATCATAGATAGATCTTCGCAATATTAAAAAAACTGTAAAAACATAATTTTAATCATTGTAATGTGTGATCACAAAAAATTAGAGAAAAAAGTAGAATATACAATTTCCATCAAGTCAATGATGTCATTAATTTTAAGACACACCATGTTTTATTCACCACTAAGAAAAAAATGTTGTCAATGAAACTAGGATATGCCACTGTTTTTTAAGGCATATCCCTCTTTTAGAGAGGTTAAACTGAAAAAAATGTCCTTTAGAATTGATGAAAAAGATAGGTAATGAATAAATGTGTGCTTCATCTCTGTATGGGGAAGGGCTTTCTAAACATAAAGATAAACTCAAAAGTATAAACGGCTTTGGCTTCATCAAAATGAAACACTTCTGTATGTCTAAACATTAAAAATAATAACAAGAGGTAATCAAACAGAAAAATGTTTGGAGGATTTATGGCCAAGGGTTAGTACTCTTAAAAAAGGGGTGGGTATAGCTCGGTGGTAGAGTGCAGGTTTAGCGTGCACGAGGTCCTGGGTTCAATCTCCAGTACTTCCTCTAAAAATAAGTAAATACATAAACCTAGTTACCTCCCCTGGCAAGCCCCAGATCACCGGAGAAAGGAACTGACAATTGGCTATAAATGTACATAACTTATTCTACATTACTAGTAATCAAATATGCAAATTAGAGGCATGTTTTTTTCCAGCATTAAGTTAGCAAAGATTAGTGGAAAGGAAAATTTCAATTCCAGCAAAACTAAGGCATATGGAATCCTCATCTGCCACCGTGAGGGCTGTCAAGCGCTATATAACCTTTTATTATGAGCCCGAAAAAATTCAGATCCTTTTAATAAATTTACTTCTAGAAATTATCCTGAGGAAATGATCTATGATGATTACACATTACACTTACTTATTATGGAAGAAAATTCCAGAAAACCGTAGGAAAAATAAATATCCTAGACGTGTAGCCATGTTGTTAAAGGCAAAAACATCATTTTTTTTTACACACTACCGAGGGGTCAGGGTTTTTCCTTCATCTAATCAGAAACCAGTGTTCTTGGGTCATCTAAATAAGACCAGGGAGCTCAAATGCATAACCTATTAAGAAACCTTTAAGATAGCTTTGTGATGTCCTGGGGAAAGAGCACCGAAAATCAAAAAGCTTTCTTTTCTCCTTGCTTTTGAATCACCCAGAGATAGATTCTAGATCTGGAAGATTTGGGAATCCCACATCTTGGAGACTCCAGCCAAAATGCGCTCTATTTCTTGCAGCTCCTTTTGCAATTGAGGGCAGGCCGCGTCATTCACTCTGCTTGTTCCATCTATGTCCCCCTCAGTGAATCCAGCAAGAGTTCTCCTTTTCAAACAGCTCCTATTGCGCTCTGCTGAAGCCCTGCCAATGCCTTCTCTTGTGCTTGAAGCTAATACCTTGGCCAAGGCTTAAATAGCTTTTCAGAATCGGGCCTTGCCGACCTCAGGGACCTTGTCTTGGATCGTCCTCTCCCTTTATTGCATTGATGTCTTTTCCAGTTTTCTCAAACTTGTCAAAGCTGGATTTGGCCTCCAGACCGTTATAGGGGCGAAAACATGCTTTGCCTGCATCTTCCCGCGGTGGCACTGAGAGGCCTTCCCTAACTGTGCTACCCCTGTGTTAACGCATGGGTCTACCGGGCCGGAGATGCGGTGGACAGCCGAGATCTGACAAGGGGAGGACTGGGAGGCTCTGGGCATGGTTCCAGTTTTGGCAGTAATGCTGGAAGTCACGAACATCACTAGTGTCGCGCCGTATGCGCACAAGGGGTGACCCTGGAGTCTCGCCAAGCTGAGCGCCTCCACCCGGGAAATGGACGTAACGGTCCCTACTGGGCCTTGGGAGAATTAAGCAGGAATCCGCTCCCGACAGCGGAGCCCGGTACGCACCGGGGGCTTCCCCCAGCGCTCACGAGGCGCGGCACCCGGCGCCCCCCTCTCGTGTGAGCGCCCCGCGGCTTTCAGGCCCACCGCGCTTGGGGCAGGGTAGCGGGGGTCGCAGGGTGCGAGTTCGCTAGGGCAACAGCGCGATACGGGACGGAGGTCCCGGCTCGGGAAGCCCGCGTGGGCCCGGGCCCCTGGCCCAGCCGCGGCAGGTAAGGGGCAGTGGCGGCAAGAAGGCCTCGGACGTGTTCTCAGCGCCGAAGGGCTGGCTTCGGTAGCGGGAAGTACGCAGCCCCGCAGCCCCCAGTTGGTGACGGGCTGGCTCTGGGAGAAAAGGAGCGTAGGCGGCGCGAGGGCGGGGAGCGCCGGTACCTTCAGGTCGGCCAGGGGCGAGAAGAATAGGCCAGGGACCCCTCACCACAACCCAGAACCCCATACTATCTATCCCCCGGGACCTACGGGGACCTACCGCCATTCCCCTCCCCCTTCTTGGCGGGTGAAGAGAGAACGGTTTGTAGGAAGACGCATGCGCGTGAAACTAAAACGGCTGAAGCTCGGATAATCGCGGGAAGGCGCAGGCGCAGAAAAGCCTGGCGGCTTTAAGGAGGTGGGAGGGGCTGAGCCCAAAACGCTGGTGTATAATAACTTGAGGGCGGGAGGCAGGCCGGCTCCTGAAATTACGCATGCGCCCGAGCTCTGTGTGACGCAAGGGGGCGGTGCGGGCACCTGACTGCGCGTGCGCAGATGTTGCACAAAGGGCCTTATTTAGGTTGCGCAGGCGCCCGCTAGCCATTTCTTCTCAGCCACGCCGAAGTCTTGTGTGCAGGTTAGTGTTTGTTCCTCGGTGTGTACGGCCCAGCGGCCCCCGAGGGTACCGTTTTCGTGAGGATTGCCTGCCCGCGGACCTCTGTAGAGCTCGGGGGCCCTTAGCAGGGTGCGGGCTGCCGTCAGGAGCCAAGAGTCGTTCGCCGCGTCGGGCGGGGCCGCCGAGGCCTGCAGGCCGCGCCGACTCCATTGTGTGAGATGTCGGAGGAGGCGGAGCGGAAGCGGCCGCCGC